AAGAGCGGCGAGTCCGTCCAGTGGAGCGTGTCTGTTGGGACGATGTACACTGCCTGCGGGGGGCGAACAGGCGCTGTTCGCCAACGTCGCATCTATACTGAGTAGAGTCATGAAGACACTTTACAACTCCAGTAGTCGTACTCGTAGCAGCAGCCTGTCGGTGCACTCTCGCATGCTTGCTGTACACAGTACTGGGATGAACTATTATGACTCTGGAGGGGGACCGGGAGGCGGTAAGTCGTCGTCGCCCGGCGCTGCTGCTTGCTGCCGTGCCGCCCACGGCCACCCAGCACAGGACTCACAGCTGGACTGCTATTACGAGAAACTCACACCAGCCAAGAGGTCCTCACGCCAACAGGTCCTCACGCCATGAGGTCCTCACTCCAAGAAGAGGCTGCGCGACTATATACTACTCACTAGATGTTTCGCAAAAATTATTACCGCTCCTCGCCAAATGCTCCCTACTGACGAGAAGCTTAAGCCTGGAAAGAGTTAGACCGCCAGGATGTCCTCACGACCTCACCTCACGCCGGCGCCGAGAGAGGTCCCCTCACACCTGGCGAGAGGTCCTCACGGCGTTTCGTGGTTGCTCGTTGCAGTAATGCGCGCCCCTACGCCGGCCCGGCGCCCCGCGTCGCCCGCAACGGGTCGGCGCGCGCCGCCATGCCCTTCCTCAACACTCTCATCTGCACCCGCGTCCCGCGGAGCGCTTCGAGTGGCCTGCGCAGTGTCATGAGACCTGCATGAGACCGGTTTGTATAGTAAATGCAAGGAAGTAACATTATGGTCTGGTGTATGGTGCGTCCGTGTGTGTGTGCACCATTCAATCCCTCGTTATGTTTTTCATACATTCACACCATCGTGCATCGAAATGTGGTTCGGGTTTTGGCGGAGGCGCCTACCCGCCTAGAGCAGCTTAGGTGGACCTCTGCCGTGTGTCTGAGGACCTCCTGCTGTGAGGACCTCGGCGTCTGCTTGCTGAGGACCTCTCTCTGATAGCGTGATAGGGTCCCCTCACCCTCTCGCTCTCCTACCTTGATCGCGTCCCGTGCTCCTTGATCGCGAACCAGCTGAGCAACAACCTTTCGCATGCTCAGCACCTGGACGAGGTCACATGGACAACCAAGAACTGGCACGGCCTGCAAATGCAGCGTTTGTCGGTCGTCCTCCACACCGCTGTGGCGTGGCAGACGGTGAACGAGCTAGCGTGCGGGGAGAGCGGCATTGTCAGTGCATGGTGCGGAGTGCAGTGAGTGTGAGTGTGTGTGTGTGTGTATTCTTTAATATTAACCTTGCGAACTCGTCCCCCCCGGCAGGGCTATGCAACTGTGACCAGTGTGTGCTGTCACGCCTGAACCAGGTGTCAAATCTGCCGATGCGTGACCTGTGCGTGGGCTGCTCTGTGAGGGGTCCAGGCGTAGTCCGACGGGTAGGGGGTCTGTGCCCGGGCGGTGTCCGGTGCGGAGTCTCTCTCTGATCCCGCCTGGGATGTTGGGTGCGAGGTGTGGCGGCTTCGATCCCAAGGGGGGGAGCTGATCCCACTCGGTAACCAACTCTCAGGGGCAGTAGGTGGGCGAGCTTCAAGCGCGCTCATCTCGATCGTCAAGGCGTCGCTACGCGCGGTCTTCCGCGGGGGGAGCGTCGTCGACGGGTGCGGGAGCGCGGCGCAGTCAGTGCCGCGGCGATGCCTCCGGCTGTTTGCGGCGGGCGGCTTGCTGCTCGCGGCGATGGCGAAGAACTCGTCTCGTCACACACCAAGGGCTTACGCTCTGTCGAGACGCGAGGCGTATGCGCCCAGGAGGGGAGGGCGCATGCGTAACGACGCTGCTAGAGATGCCTTTCGGGGCCCAGAGATAAAACTTCTGATGCCATGCGTGACCTAGTAGTGTCCCCAGCTATGGGCGTGTCCACGTTGGAGCCAGGTGTGGTGTGGACGCGAGAATAGCTCCGCCGTTCATGGAGGCAACCGATGCGAGTCGACTGGTGTGTGTCGTCGTGGTTTCGTATCAAGAATACTCACTCACTCACTCACTCACACGGTGCGGAGTGCATTGCCGTTCTTAACGGAGTCGCTTAGGCGGCTCCGGTGGTGAGCCGGTGTGTGTGCCAGTCCGCGCCAGTCCGCGCCCTTGTCGTGCCAGTGTGCTTGATTGATTGATTGAGTGTGCTGAAAGAAAGAAAGAAAGAAAACACACAACCCAAGGGAGGGATGGGAGAACGGCACGCCGCCACCACACAGGGATTTTAAGGAGAGGAGTGTGATGCGCTAGCCGTCGCCCACCCTGGGGAGTCTGCCTCTTCGTATCTCTTTTCGCAGTCTCTCGCCGCTTCTCGCTGCAACCTTCATGCCACCTCGCGGCCGTCCCACTCTCGTCGGTCTCTCCCTTGTCACTTCCTCCTCTGTCGCGTCGTTCTCTTCTGCCTCGTCCTGCGACGCCGCCGCCTGCCGGTCCCTTGTTCTCGCGGCTTCTTTCGCCTTGCGCAACTCCGTCCTCCTCGCGGCGTATCCTGGCCCCTCGAGTCTATCAAGCTCCCCTCGCGCAAGGACCACATTTCTGACTCCCACTCCGATCATTTGCCTACACGTCATGTTGTTGCTCAGGTCCACTCTCTCTTCGAACACTCGTGCCTCTACGGATGATGCCGGCGCTGGGGTCCCCTTCGGATGCATCTATGATGTAACATACTTCCGGGCCGGTGTGCGGGGAGCGAACCTTAACGACCGCCCAGAAGCTTTCTGCGCGAACCAATCGGGCCAGGATCATCAGCATATGTCCCCTGCACAACATCGTGGGCGTTTGAGCGGTATTTGAGGAGCACCGCGACTCTGAAGTTCGGCCGGGTGGTCTGCAGACCCCCCCCCCCGGAGCAGCAGAGGCTCCGTGGGGTCGCAGAGTCGACGCTGGGAGTCGCACTCGTCAAGCCATCGCAGCACCACGCGGTCCGCACGTACCGCCCACATCCCCTCCACCACTGAGAAGGCGCAGATTGACCGCCGGGCCGCGTAGCCGTCGTTAAGGAGCGATTTTTGGAGCCGTACGAAGAGGTCCCAGACGGGCGAACATGCGGTTTTTCGATGACCACGCGCGATGTGGTATCTGCTTTTTGCTAAAAACGGGCCGCCTAGTGCAGCACCACTAGTACCACACGCAACCACACTTAGAGCTCCACAGTAGATGTTTGTGACGAGCGCCGACGGCGTCACGGTCGCCGGAGTGGACGCACTGCACACACACTGTGACAGTGTCGTGGGTGTGACAGTGCGCGACACAACCGTCGGCGCCGCGCTATCGCGGCGCCCCGCAGTCAACACGCCTCAGGCACACCCCTGAACGCGCCATGGGCGCGCAGATACACCGCAGCGCCGTGGAGAATCCACACCTGGCCGGTCCCAAGCCCCGTCCTGGGCCTCCAGGCGGCCGAAGATCCGGCGTTCGGGCGGGATGAACTTGTCGGAAATGGAGCAAACTTGGCGCGGCTCGCCGCTCGCGGTACCGGGTGAGCCTGGATAGGGCAAAATCTGGGGTGAATACGAGGGACAGAGGTCGCAAGTTTGTCGCGCAAGTTTGCGCGGCGTGGCGCTGCCCCGCTGCCGAGGGCGCCACCAACCCGTGGCGGCGGCATTTCCAGCCCAAATTGGGCGTTCCGTGCGCCTTGCCGGCGAGAGTGGACGGGCTGTGCATCGTGGGGGGGTGAGCGGGAGGGAGGTGGTCGTGTGCCTACTTTGTCGGCCGCGCGCGAGGAAAATACTGGGTGTGAGGCGCGCAGGAGGCGAGGATGGGCGCGCCGGCGGTCGAGCCACCGAACAATTCGACGTGGCGCAGCTCCGCGCCGGCGGGGACGACGGAGCACATGCTGTCGGCGGCGGTCACGCGACGAGGGAGAGCCGCAGGAGCCCTCTGTGGAGCAGGCGCGCGAAAGCAGCGATGAGTGGCGCTTCGTCAGCCACCTGTGGGCGGTCAGCGGGGTGACGCCACGCCTCAGCGAGCTGGATCCGGGAAGGGCAAGGGGTCACGCGGGCCCTGTCTGCAGCAGCAGTGCTAACTAAAACGACAAAATTCCGGATGGACCGGAGACTGTCTACTCTTTCGGCGCACCGTCCTCGACCGCGCTGAAAAGCTGGCTGGTGGTCGCCGCAGCGCGTCAGCGCGACTCCAACTGGTTGGGCACCTCGGCTGGGTCCATCGGCAAGAGGCCCGCGCCGTCGGGCGGCCCCGGGAGCGCATGATGCCCCTCCGAGAGGCGCTGACGCCCCGCCGAGATCGCGCTGGTTTGGCACGAAAAACACGAGGCGCCAAGGGGGGGGGTCAAGTATGTTACATCATACATCGTGACATCTGACAACTGAATTTCCACTGGTTCGTCCTCCTCTGAGTCATCTTCCCCGTCCTCCTTCCGCTCGGCCCTTCGCTCGGTACGTTCGGTGTGGCTCACCCTCCATGCCGTGAACAGGCGCTTTATCCACCCTATATTCTTCTCTCGTTCCTCTGCCCGTGCCTTGGTCTTGTCGTTGTTTCGCACCCATGTCTGTATGGCAATCGAGGCTGCCTTCCCCACTACCTGTAGTTCACTCGTCACCTCTCCCGCGAGCTCCCTTCTCTTTCTTTCGGGTATGGAGTCCGTGAGTGCGGGTAGCGTGCAGGCAATCACGGGTGCTATTTTGTCGTACTCCTCTTCGGCGAGCGCCCCAAATCTAGACCCTTTCGCCTTTAAGGAGGCTGCCCTCGCTCGTCTCAGGAATGTGGCGGTGTCTTTTGAGTCCGGCGCCTCCCGTTCAACTCTTGCTGTCGCCCTCGCTGTGTGTTTGTCGAGCTTCCGCATGAAGTGACGCGCCTCTTCCTTATTTCCAGCGCAGCTGCCGCTCAGTATGTGCGCCAACGACGCCTGTGCTGTGAGAGAGGCTTGTATTTTAAGAATTCTTCCGCTTGAAGAAGCAAAGTCGGCGCAAAACGTGGGCAGTATCTCCGGAGATCTCCCGCAGCACGTGTACGTCGCCCGACATGTCGGCCGACTATGTCTCTCAGGGTGGCGCGTACGGGGCCGTGTACGGCACTCTCGCCGTGTTTCTCTGCATCTCGCTCGCCATCGGCTACCGCTTCCTCCGCAGCGCTACACAGGACGCCGATCAGTACCTCACGGCGCGCAACTCGCAGGGAATCGTCTCGCTCTCGCTCTCCTTCTTCGCTTCGGGCGCAGGCGCGTGGGTGCTCTTCACCGTGCCCGAGGCGAGCATCATCGGCGGGCCGGTCGCCCTCGCCGGCTACACCCTCTCGACCCTCGTCCCCATCGCCATCTTTGGCTGGATCGGCCCGATCATGCGCAAGCACCTGCCGTTTGGCTGCACCTTCTCCGACTACGTGCAGCTGCGGTACGGCTCGCTGGTGAACGTGTACTGCACGCTCGTCTCGCTCCTCTACCTCTGCCTCTACCTCACCGCCGAGTTCTCCGCCATTGGCGACGCCGTCCTCGCCCTCTGCGACCCGGCGGACGTGTACGACGCGGCCGCCGCGGGCGGCGTCACCGACAAGGGTCACCGCCTAAAGTTGGGCCTCGTCCTCGGCGTCTCGCTCTGCACGCTGCTGTACACGGCGATCGCCGGCCTCCCCGTCTCCCTCGTCACCGACAAGGTGCAGGGGGTCGGCATCTTCCTCTTCACTTTCCTCGTGTGCATCGCCGCCTTCACGGCAGACAGCGGTGCGGATGGGCGGAGCGACCGCTGGGAGGAGGTGACCACAACCGGGACGGGCGACCCGGCCGCCACGGGCGCGGGCGGCTCCACCTACGGCAACTCCTTCAAGATGGCCTTCATCCTCATCTCCGCCGTCACGTGCGCCAACATGATGCACTCTGGCTTCCAGCAGCGCGTGTGGGCGGCCGAGGACCAGGCCAAGCTGCGCAAGGGCGCGATCGGCGGGATCCTGCTCACGATCCCGCTGATGGTCCTGTACGGCGTGGTCGGCATGGTCTCGTACCGCGAGTACGGCCCCTTCCTCTTCCCCCAGTTCCCCTCCTTCGCCGGCTTCTACGCGCTCAACGAGCTCAACGTCGGCTGGCAGGTGTGCGCCGTCATCCTGACCACGATGATGGTCGCATCGTCCGCCGACACCATCCAGACGGGCGTGGCGGCCATCTTCAAGCCCTTTACGACGTACGTCCTCGTCCGCGACTGGAAGGCCCTCCCCTCGGAAGCCGAGGCGCCGCGCACCATCGTGGCACTCAACTTTGTGCTCGCCGCCGTCGTCGTCAACGTGCCAGCCATCGTCATCTCGACGCACCGCGGCGACGCGCTCCGCACCCGCCCTCGGTCGGGCTGTGAGCAGCGTCTCTTCACACCACTTCGCCGTGAACAGGCGACGCCCACCTCTCCGTCCTCTCGCTCTTCGTCCTCGCCGACCTCGTCTGCGCGACCTGCGTCGTCCCCGTCCTGATGGGCCTGAACGACCGCATCCACCCGTCTGCCGCGGCGGCGGGCTGCCTCGCGGGCGCCGGCACCGCCCTCCTCATCTACGGCCTCGCCGTCGACGGCGAGCCGGACGACTTCAAGACGCTGATCCCCGACATTGCGGGCGTGTCGGGCCTCTACGCGGACACGTCGATTGTCGCCTTCCTCGTGACCCCCCTCGCCTCCGGGCTCGTCACCACTAGAAGCGGACTGCGTGTTCTTGCCTCCCAACTAGCGCCCGAGAGGGCACGTACTCCGCCGTATTCGGTCGTATTCCGCTGTATCCACTGTATCTTCTCCGTTGCATTCACGCGGTGCTCTGATTACACTGCACAAGACCGCCTTCCCGCCCTCACGTTTGCGTACTCCGCACGTAGGCTAGTCACCCTCGCCGCCAACATCCCGTGGTTCCGCTCCGGCTACCGCTTCGAGGGGTACCCGCCCGTGGCCGCGGAGTCGCCGCGCGCGGGCGACGTCGACAAGATCAGCGGCGCCGAGGCGCGCCCCCCTCCCCAGCCACACCCGCCACTACTACCACCCAGCACCGCACCGCCACACACACCCACAAGCCCCTCACAGCCCCTCACAGCCCTCACAGCCCCCGTCGGTACCCGGGTAGCCCCCCCCCCCCCCCCCTCCCCCCCGGCGCCGCCGCCGCCACTGAAATTGTCTCCCATCCCCGCTCGTAGGTCACCACCGCGTGACCTCGCCGCCGCGCCAAGCGCTTGCCGGAGCCCTACCTCTCCCAGTGCGGCGGGGGGCTGAGAATACCAAACGGCCACGACCTCAGGTTTAACAGACCGAGGGAAAGCGCTCGGGCGGTCGGAGGACCGCCCAACTGCATGAACACGCATCCCGCCCCTTCCCGGATCGGGGGGCTGAGGCGCGCACAACTGATCACGGCGATCCACGACCCAGTCGGGGAAAGCTTGCAGCGCTCTCGGCCCCGCAGCACCGTATGCGCCTTCGCGCGTCCACGGTGCTCGGTCGGGCGGGAGCTGCTGTTGTAAAAAGTGAGGTAAAACTTTTCCGCACATCCCCTGTGCCCCCCGGGGAGTCCCCGGCACCCGCATGGCCACCTCCTTACCTGATACCTCCCCTCCCGCCTCCGCTGAGCGCTGTCAGTGTCACTAGCAGTGCCGCCCCGACGCACGCACGCACTTACACACACACTCCTCTCGCTCCACATCCAACAGCTGCCTTCTCCGCGCGGCAGGTACCTCACACCACTTGCCGCGCCGATTCCTCGGGGCCGACGTCGACTTGTTCCGAGGTGCTGAAGCGGCTGCTGCGGCGCGTACTGGCCCGATTGCTGACCCGGCCGCGAATGGCGTATCGGATGACGCCGCTCCTCGCGTCGTTGACGTTTTCGCTCACCGGAGTCGCACCGAGCTTCTTGGCCAGGAGCACGAGCGACACCTACGGAGGTGAGCGCATCGCGTCATATCTCGGAGCACGTCATGGTATGCCCAAGCAGGCGCGGAGTACCTCGCGGAATGCTCCAGGAAAGAAGGATGTGGCGAGGGCCTTGTACAGACCCGGGTGCCCATCGAGGCCGGCGATGAGCTCCTGCGGCGTGGTCTGGAACATGCAGTCAAACGCACAGCCATCGCGCGTCGGGTCGTTCTCGTGCGCCATCACAATCGTGAGCTTGTCGGCGCGCGCCTGCTTGACCTGCTCCGCGAGCCGCACCCCGCGTTCCCCCGACCAGGTATTGGCGTTGAGATAGAGCAGCATGTGGGTCGGTTTACGAGACTCCTGGGTGGGCGCCTCGTCTTCGACGACGACGGTGAGGGTGTCCGCCGCAAACTTGGACTTTAGCTCGTTGACCAAGTACACTGCACCCGAGTTGGATGGCGAGACCCAGAGCACCACCGGCTGGAGGAAGCCGAGGTGCTCGCGCTGCGCCTCGCCCGGCACGTAGAGCGGCAGAGCCGTCTCGTCCTCATAGGCAGGCGAGCAGAGCAGCAAGGCCTACGTCATTCGAGTCTAGGCATTTTGGATGGAGAGGGGGCGGAGGGTGCCGTGGAGGGGGGTGGCAGCGCCTCAGTGATGACCTTGAGCGACACGAGCTGGAAGGCCTCGATGCGGTGCCACGTCGTCAACGACCAGCCTTTGTCGAAGATGGCTTCCCGCAGATGCCCGGGGCACTCTGCACGCAGCGCTGCGAGCGTACCGCCTTTCTCTAGGTTCCCCTCTTGGACGAGAACGAGCGGCTTCTTCTGATCGAGCGACGCGCGCACCTCCCGAAGGCAATTATGGCGGTGGAAAAACTGGTGGTGACGGCGGCGGTGGCGGCGGTAGGTAAGGTACGACAAAGTTGAAGCTCGCGTGATACCCAGATTCGATGGTTAGGCCCACCTGACCAAGGCCTGTCCACTCTGTGCCTTGCCAGCCAAGGAGCGACGAGGAGTGTGCGAGGAGCGCACACTGCATGCCCGGAGAGACTTCGACAGCGAACGTGCGCGCGTCACCCGAGTTGTCTCCTTCCATGGACGCTACCTGTTTGCCATCGCAAAGGAGCTCCCAGCTGCGGGCGGTGCCGTCTCCGCCCCGACGGGCAGGGGTCATGAGGATGCCGTATCTTGTAGATGGCGCCAGGGGTGGCAGTGGTGGCGCTGGCGGAGATGAAGGCGGCAGCGGCGGTGACGGTGGCGACGGCTGCCCAACCGGTTGTGCTCCACACACGCTTGAGCAGACGTCTGAGCCAGAGCACTCCTTGTGGCAGCTCAGTGCGCACATTTCATTCACTCCACTGGAGAGAGTGAAGCCAGGCGGCGGAGACCAGGACACAGGCGGGATGCCCAAAGTCTTGGCCGCCGAAGATGCGTGTGCCAAGAGCTCCTGGTTGCTCCACGAACATACGCTGCCCAGCGTGACCGACAGATCAATGAGGGGCCCAAACTCCACAACAATATAAAAGACCTCCGCACAGTCTCCACTCAGGGCGTCGTATAAGCCCGCCAGGGCGCCAGGGACGTCAAGGCATGGCCGAGCACCGGATTGCGATGGTGAGGAGGATGGCAACGGCGACAGAGACGGGAGCGGCGGCGGCGGAGACGGCGACAGAGACGACAGCGGCGGCGGTGGAGACAGCGACAGAGAGGGGAGCGGCGGCGGTGGAGACGGCGACAGAGAGGGGAGCGGCGGCGGTGGAGACGGCGACAGAGACGACAGCGGCGGTGGTGGAAACCGTGTGAGCTGCACAGGCGGAGTTGGTGGCTGTGCCGGCTCAAGCCAGCTCGGCAGGGGGTGCATGGGCGGTGGCAGCCATGCTTGGGGCAGCACCGGCACCAGCGGTGGTTGTTGCTGGCAAGCGTAGTGAGGAGGCCAGTCCATTTTGCACTTGAAGTCGTTGGTCTCCTGCTGGACCAGTACGCACTCTGCTACATAGGTTTGAGTTCGCACGTAGGCGGTCTCACATGAAGCTCGGCGGGACGGCGTGTCTGGCCCACTCTGCCCCCCAGCTTCTCCACACCAGGTACAGCTGCCGTTGGGGCAGAGGTTGGTCTTTTGCAGCGTGAAGGGCTGCTCGAGCCCGCAAGTCTTTGAGGTTATCTCCGGCAACGCAGAAGGGTGTGATGCCTTCGGCGGCGGTAGGGTTGACGGTGGCGAGGGCAACGGTGACGGCGGCACAGGGGGCACATGTGACGTCGGATGAGGGGGCGACGCTGGCGGCGGTGGCGGTGGCGATGATGGCAGAGGCATGATTTGAGGTGGCGGTGACGGCGGCGGCGGCGGCGGCGGCGGCGGCGGCAGCGGGGCAAGCGAGGGCGGTGGTGGTTGTGGCGACGGTGGCGGCGGCCGCGGCGGCAGCGACGGCGCAGGCGAGGGCGGTAGTGGTTGTGGCGATGGTGGCAGCGGTGGTGGTGGCGGCGGCGGCGGCGGCGGAGGCAGTGAAGGTGGCTGATGATGACCTGGTGGCCACGGTGGCGGCGAGGGCGGCGGTGGCGGCGGCGAGGGTGGCGGCGGCGGCGGCGAGGGTGGCGGCGGCGGCGGTGGGGGTGGCGGCGGCGGCGGCGAGGGTGGCGGCGGCGGCGATGGGGGTGGCGGCGGCGACGGCAGCGGCGGGGATGGCGGCGGCGGCGAGGGCAGTGGTGGGGGTGTAGAAGGGGCGAATGGCGAGGGCAGGGGTGGCGGAGGAGTGGGCGAAGGTGGCGGCTGGGAGGGCGAGGGCAGTGGCGGCGAGGGTGGTGGAGACGAGGGAAGTGGTGGAGACAGTGCTGCCCCCAAGCAGTCGGCGAGCGTGGGCTCGCACGATGCCGTGCAGGTTTGGCAAGCTGCAGTGGTCTGGTCGGGAAAGCAGACAGTGAAGCAGGTAGAGGCGCCGCATGCCGCTCGCCGACCGAAACACGCCGCGCAATCGCTGGAGTACCCGCGTGTCGAGGTCAGACACTCGCCCACACAAGCTCCACCATCAGAGAAGGTTGCGATAGCACACGAAAATGAGCAAGTGGTGACATCACCGTCCAGCGTGGCGTCACCACCCGCATCCAGCCAGGTGCTGCGGTCCATAGTACTGCAGTCAGAGGTAGCAAGAGCACTTGAGAGCATTGTGAGTGAGGCAAGCAGCATCAGCAGTTGCGGACACCTCACGGCCTGCCGGGGGGCGCAGCCACTGCAACTCGCGGAATCGACCCTAACGCACTGATGTGCGAAGATTCCGAGGTGCCCGCTGTAACGTTTTGGCAAGGTGTTAAAGGTAAACTTCTCAACAGCTGTGTATCTCGGCTTGTCCTCTCAAAGACTCTCCCATCGGGGGCGTTTTAGCGCGGGGGTCGTTGCTGGGCGTCGCGAGTGCGAGCAAGCACACGCTCGGTTCCCTCGCGCCGCCTCTCAGCATCTGCGATCTGGTGGTGGTGCGCATCCTTTTACGTGAGTCATGACGGAAAAAAGCTCATACACGGCTCTAAGTTCCTCTTGACCTTGTCCTCTCACTCTCCCGTCCATCGCGCCATCGGGGGCGTAATTTAGCGCGAGGGTCGAGCTGGGTGCTGGGCGTCGCGACCGAGCAGCGCGCGCGCGTGCGTGCGCGCGCCGAAGCAAACGCTCGCCGCCACTCTCATGTGCGCATCTGCGGCAAGCCGCAAGCCAATCAACAGATTCGACATTCGCAATGCTCTTCTAGCTTTATAACACCCTCAAAATCACCACGCGCCGTCACGAGCGCGCCGTTTGAGGCGATCCGTATTCCGACGTTGACTATATACCTTACCTTACCTTACCGCGTCTCGCCTCGTTAAGGAGGTGTGTCAGAAGTAGGGCTCGCGGAAGTAGCCCGTGAGGACGCGGAAGAGGATCTCGTACGACAGCACAGCGTCGAAGGGCGCGGCCGTCCACTGCGGCATACAGACGCCCTGCACACTGCGCAGGCTCTCGGCGGCCGAGTAGACGCAAGTCTCGCCTGTTCACGGCCGGAGTTGTGAAGAGACGCCGATCAAACCTCCACCAGTGAAGCAGTCGCGCGGCTCGCTCCAGAGCTAATCTCGGCGCATCTCGGCGAATCTAGCGAATCTCGGCGACTCTCGGCGAATGTCGCCCCAGAGCTGGTGCGCGAAAGTGAGCGCCCCGCGGGGCACACCGGCAGCCAAAGCTGCGGCCGCCGAGCCCCTCGCACCAGCCAGCTTGGTGGCCCAGTGCAGAGCCACCGCAGCCATCGCAAGGCGGCCGTGCTTCAGCTCGGCCAACTCGAGCCGCCTGTTCACAGCCCTCCTTCTGACTGGATTCACAGGTTTTTTTTTCACAGCCGACGGCTCGGCCAGCTCGAGCCGCCGTCGCTCACAGCCGCCGGCGTCCACCCACAGTCGCAGCGGGTCGAAGGCGCACCCCCGCCGCGCCTAAAGAAATCACGGTGGCGGCTGCTACATGATACATGAATGTATGTGGCGCGCCTGTGCGGTGTCGGCATAGCCACAAGGCTGCTCGTTGTCTGTGTGCGTGTGTGTGGCTAAGTCTAAAGCCGGTGTGGCGCCTGCAGCTCCCCTGCGACCGCGGCCGCGAGCAGAGCGCCCCAGTAGCACGCGGAGATCAGTCCGATGTCGGACAGCTGCAGCGCCGCCTGCCGCCCCGCCTCGGTGCGGTCCACGCCGCACCCGTCCCCGCTGCACACTGACGACACCGGCAGCAGCCTCTGCGCGACGGCAAAGCCGACCTCGGCGACAGGCCACCCCCACGCGGCGACCATCGCGAGCCGCCCGTGCCGCACCTCGGCCTCGCGCATGCGCTGCAGGTTGTCGGCCGTCGCGAGGCCGAGCGGGTCGAAGCCTGCAGTGGTGGAGGAGCGTCGGTGTGCGACCGAGTCTGCGTCTTTGGTGCTGGTCGTTCGCGGCACCGAGGTCGCCAATCATGGGCGATTGGAGGAGCGGGATGGCGACGGAGCGAGGCGTTGACGGCGACGTTGGCTGCAGCAGGCACGCTGGGGATGCCAGCAGAGGCAGCATGGGCTGGCGGCGAGAAAAAGAAAAATACGGGAAAAACCTACAACCATGGGATCTTCCCTTAAGTGTAGACGCGTCCGAGAGTGCGATTGCTGCATTATCCGATTGGCTTGCAAATTGGCATCTCAACGACTGAGAGGCTACTGGCACATATCACATCCTCACATTACCCTCTAGTCATCGTCGAATATGAATTCACATCCCGGACGGGTCACATGGCTTGGCGACATGGACGCGAGCGAGGTGTTGGCAGGGATGGCGGTAAGCAGAAGCCTAGATCTATGGATGGCGGCCGCGGTGGCACGCTCGGGACGCGACCAAAGGAGGCAGTGCGCCAGCGAGAGAGTTAGGGATCCCAGAGGTCCTCACAGCAAGAGAGGTCCTCACACGGAGTGACGGAAGTCCTCTCACTCTAGCCACTCTAGCGGCCGCGGATGTGGCAATGACCGTTCGCGACGTGTGATGCACACCCCTTCGACTACACCCCTCGCACACACGACATCCTCTCATTGCTTTCCAATCATCTTCGAGTATGAGTTCACTTCCCCGAACAAGGTAGGATCACATGGGTCACGCGAGAGCGAGGTGTTGCAGAGAGATAGATGCCGGTAAGCAGAAGCCGTACAGGAAGAGGATGGCGGCCGCGGTGGCATGCTCGGGACGCGACCAAAGGAGACAGTGCGCGCCAGCGAGACAGGGAGTGAGGGATCCCAGAGGTCCTCACGCTAAGTCCCTAAGAGGAGAGGTCCTCACACGGAGTGACCGGGAGGTCCTCACTCTCTATAGCCACTCCGCGCGGCGGTGGGGCAATGACCGACGTGTGGACTGATGCACACTGTCTGTCTCGCTGACGCGATCAAGGAGCACGGGACGCGACCAAGGTAGGAGCGCCAGCGAGAGGGTGAGGGGGCCCTATCACGCTATCAGAGAGAGGTCCTCAGCAGGCAGACGCGGAGGTCCTCACAGCAGGAGGTCCTCAGAGGTCCACCTCTTCCACCAGCCATCCCGGGTAAGGCATGTACTCACACCGAGTTGAGCGGCGAGTGGGCATCCGACAGACATTGTCTCAAAGAAGGTACGTGTCGTCTCGCGGTTACACAAGGTTAAGCCCTTTCCAAGACCAAGTTGCTCTAGCTAAGGCGAACAACATTTCAAGATGGTGTGTCTTAATGTATGAAAATCATAACTCCATGAGTGTGGTGCGCGTGTTACTGTACGTGTGCACCTGTTACGTGTTGTCACATTCTTCATACGACTGTACACACCAACACACTACGGGTATGAATCGGCTCGTGGCCAATATTACACCACAACGCCTCTCTCATAGTGATTTTTCTTTGAGTTCGAGAGAGCTTTGTTGTAAAATTCTTTGAGTTAGCTTTCACCATTTTTTCGTACAGTTTTTCTTTTTTGAGAGCGCCCTCGTTGTTAATAATACAAACCCAATGGTCCCTTGCGAGTGGTCTCTTGTCGCAGTCACACACACGCACACGCCGCATCACACCTCGCGCCCGCCCGCCGCCCCGCCTAGGCGGGAAAGAGATGAGGAGATGGGACAGCAAAGGAGGAGCACCAAACACGTATGGGAGGGTTCAGTTGTGCGTCAGGCTGCCCGCCTGCGTTTTTTTTCTTTTTTTTGAGAGCGCCTTCGTTGTTAATAATAATACAGCCTGACGGACACTTGCTGTAGCCACATGACATGCACACACTCACACCGCACCGCACTCCGCACCCACGCCCCCCCCCGCCTCGCCTGAGTTGGAAGGAGATGGGAAGATGGAACAGCCCGAGGAGAAAGGAGCGAATCAAACACGTATGGGAGGTTGAAATCGTGCGCCCGCTTTTTCTTTTTATTCACGAGGGAGCAGTGATACGAGAATACGCACATGTTACGAGAATACACACTGCCCCCAGAGGTCCTCACGCTAAGTCCCTAAGAGGAGAGGTCCTCACACGGAGTGACCGGGAGGTCCTCACTCTCTATAGCCACTCCGCGCGGCGGTGGGGCAATGACCGACGTGTGAACTGATGCACACTGTGTGTCTCGCTGACGCGATCAAGGAGCACGCGGGACGCGATCAACGTAGGAGCGCCAGCGAGAGGGCGAGGGGACCCTATCACGCTATCAGAGAGAGGTCCTCAGCAGGCAGACGCGGAGGTCCTCACTGCAGGAGGTCCTCACACGGCAGAGGGCCACCTCTTCCACCAGCCATCCCGGGTAAGGCATGTACTCACACCGAGTTGAGCGGCGAGTGGGCATCCGACAGACACTGTCTGTCTCGAAGGTAAACGTGTCGTCTCGCGGTTAAGCCCGTTCCAAGTTGCTCTAAGGCGTCAAAACCCGAACCACATTTCAAGATGGTGTGTATAAATGTATGAAAAACATAACTAACTAGAGGAGTGGTGCTGAAGGTGCTAGCAGTTCCATACCTTGAATTCTTTTTCGGTGTTAGTCCAGTGCGCGCCAGTCCCGTGACCACTTGCAGCACTTGGAGGGCAGTCGGCAACCGCACCGCACGCCCGGCACACCAGATCGTTTTCTTTTTATGTCGCCCGTGTGCCTTGCCTGTCGCGTGAATCGTAAGAAAGAAAGAAAACATACACGCCAAGGGAGGGATGGGAGGACGGCACGCGTAAAAAGAAAGAAAGAAAACAGACAAGCCAAGGGAGGGATGGGAGGACGGCACGCACCAAAATTCTTTTTATTGCCTGTCTAAAAGAAAGAAAGAAAACACACAACCCAAGGTATTGCCTGTCTGCTGTGAGAGAGAGTTATGTTTAAATTCTTTTTATTCTCGGGGAAGAGCGGCCGGCCAGGTGGGCCGGTCTCTTCGACGGCGCCTAAGGGGTTGCCGTCTGCTGTGCTCCTTTTGGTACCTGTGTCGAACCTGTGTCGGTGAGAGAGAGTTCTTCTTCGGTGTACCTGTGTTAGTGCCAGTGCGCGCCAGTCCCGTGACCATTTGCACTTGGAGCACTTGGAAGAGTCGGCAAGCCCACCTTTTTTTCTTTTTATTCGCACAACTTTGTGGCGTCGACACAGGCGCCCGGAGCGATGCCTCCAGTGCTGGAGGCCTCCGCCGCGGCCGCCGCGGACCCGGCCGACCTCCACGTGGTCTTCTCCGCCGAGTGCATCCCTGCCTTCGACTGGCAGAGCGCCGGCCTCTTCTACTCCTTCCGGCGCGTGCGGCAGCCCGGGCGCATCACGCGGCTGCTGGCGTGCTCCGAGGCGCAGCTGTCCACGTACCCGAAGGTTAACCTCGAGATGGGGCCAACCTTTGTTCACAAGAACATGCGCTTCGACGCGAGCAACGACGCCGAGAAGGACGACCCGCACAACGACGGTAAAGGGACGGGGTGCGCCTCGCTGCCACCGCTGGCGCCACCACTTTTGTGACCACCGCTGCTGCCGCCACCGCTGTCGCCACCGCAGTCACCGGCTCCGACTGCCATCGCAGCCTCATCCTTCCTTCCAACCCACAGGTATGCCTCCTACAACAAGCCCTACTCGGTGATGGCGTGGCTCGAGCAGACCGACGTCGAGGAGGACCACGTCGACTTAGATGGGGAATGCCCCCGCATATCTCCCCATATCTCGGGGCCTAGATGGGGAACGCCCATCTTTGTATCGGGGAAGGGCACTCGAGTGGACACATGTTCGACTCGGGGCGCCCTCCCCTCCCTGCCGTGGAGCCCACTGTGCGTGCACACCCAGCGCGCCACTACTGCACTACGGCTACCACCGACTGATACCAAGCTCTCCACCCAACAGCTTGCCCTCCCGCCCGCCCTCCCGCCCCCCCTCCCTCCTGCCCTCCCGCCCACCCGCCCGCCCGCCCGCCCTCTCTCCCCATCGCTCTTCCCCAGCGACGCTCCCGACTGTGAAGAGAGGTGGCGTCTCTCGGTGTATCTCGGTGTATCTCGGTGTATCTCGGAGAGACTCGCGCAGGAGAGGCGAGCTGAAGCTCCACTCCATTCAGCGGTTGGCCCAGCTTAGCGCACACCTCACGACGCAGGACTATGTCCTCTTCATGGACTCGGACATGATCCTCCGCCAGCCGATCGACCCGGTGGCGATGGGACGCGCGGCGCGCCGTGTGCTCCTTTTCCACAGCGGCGCTGTATTTCTTTTTTAGGTGCTCGCGGGGCAGCCGCGGGAGGAGGGCGCGCCGTGTGTTTCTTTTTCACATTGCCCGTGTATTTTTAGGTGGCGATGGGCGTGACGCGCGGCAACGTCGTCTCAGCAGGTTGCTCACAGAATTCTTAAAACACAAGCCTCTCTCACAGCACACTGGCACGACAAGGGCGCGGACTGGCGCGGACTAACACACACACCGGCTCACCACCGGAGCCGCCTAAGCGACTCCGTTAAGAACGCTCACGGAAAGACACAACCCCGGACCCAAGACGCACAAGCACAGACAGTCGAGAAGGGTGAGACAGCAACGGCAGTCAGAAGCCAGATGTCAGCGCTGGGTCCCAGGAAGGCGGATGCGAGGGACGGCCTCTAGTGCGAGCTCCAGGCTAGTGAGCTCATACCCACGCCGGCAGATCGCGACTAGATACAGCTAGTTAGGAGCCGACCGACCCTCCGCGTCCCCTGCTCACCCGCGGCACCGGGCCGGTGCTTGCACTTTGAATGCCGTGCGAGGGCTCCTGCCCGCGTCCCGGGCGCGGAGATGCGAGGGACTAGCCTGGCCCTTGCCCCGCCACCTTGTGTGGTGCGTGCAGACGCTGACCTTCCCTTCTCTTGCCCCTCCGCAGAGTACACCTACCTGTACGGCACGAAGAGCGGGTGACTCCATAGATGGACAGTGACAGCGACGGCACCTATCAGCCTGACATTGATGTCATCAAGACGGCGTATGAGACGGTCGAAGAAATGATGCAGGCCCGACAATGAGCGAGGGTGCGTGTTCTGCGTTGTGCCGTTCCATCAAACTTGCATACGACCACAGGTTCGCGCACCGCTTCATCGACCCGAAGCTGGACCGCCGCATGGCGCAGGTCGGAGGCTTCCACATCGTTCACTACCCCGAACCCTAGCCCTAGCCCTGACCCTAACCCAACGCTGGACCGCCGCATGGCGCAGGTCGGAGGCTTCCACATCGTTCACTAACCCGAACCCTAGCCCTAGCCCTGACCCTAACCCAACGCTGGACCGCCGCATGGCGCAGGTCGGAGGCTTCCACATCTTTCACCGCGAGGACCCCCGCCCCTAGAAGCGGAATCTCTCCCCGTATCTCCCCATATCTCCCCGTATCTCCCCGTGTCTCCCCGTGTCTCCCGTATCTCGCGACGCATCCCAACCAGCACTCGAGAGGACGCGCACTCCGCCGTATTCACTTTTAGAAGCGGAATGCGTGTTCATGTCTCCCAACCAGCACTCGCGAGGACGCGTCTTCAGCCGTACACCCGCCGTCTTCCGCTGCATACGCTGTACTCGCCTCCCTCGTACTCACGCGGTGCTCTGAAGACACCGCACAACACCGTGCTCCCGCCCTGATGTTGGGGTGTTCACCGCGTAGGACCTCGACGAGTGAGATGCAATCTCTCCCCATATCTCGAGCATATCTCCCCATACCTCCACGTAGGACCTCCGCCAGATCGCGCCGAAGTGGCTGACGTTTACGCAGCGGGTGCGCCAGTTTGCAAACGCCACCTAAAAAAGAAACCGCGCCCAAGTGTGCATGTGTTTCTTTTTTAGGTGCGCCAGTTTGCAAACCCCCACCCCGAGGACATATGCTCGAGATATGGGGAGATATGCTCGAGATATGGGGAGATATGCTCCACGTAGGTGCGCCAGTTTGCAAACGACCACCCCGAGGACATATGCTCGAGATATGGGGAGATATGCTCGAGATATGGGGAGATATGCTCCACGTAGGTGCGCCAGTTTGCAAACGACCACCCCGAGGAGTACTTCAACGAGTCGGCGCACCACCCTCTAGAAGCAGAATACGGATTCCTGTCTCTCCCCATATCTCCCCATATCTCCCCATATCTCCCCATATCTCCCCATATCTCATGCCTAGAAGCGGAGTACCGCATTCTTGTACTCCCAACTAGCGCCCGAGAGGGCCACGTGTTCCGCTGTGCTCACCCGTCTTCCGCTGTAGTCACTGTCTTCCTCTCCGTTGTACTCACGCGGTGCACAATACTGTACTCCCGCCCTCATGTTGGCGTATTCAGCACGCAGGCGCACCACCCCGACCCGCCCAAGAACAAGCTCGAGGGGGAGACATGGCGCAAGCAGGCGCGGTGGCACGAGATATGGGGAGATACGGGGAGATAAGGGGAGATATGGGGAGCTCGAGGGGGAGACATGGCGCAAGCAGGCGCGGTGGCACGAGATATGGGGAGATACGGGGAGATACGGGGAGATATGGGGAGCTCGAGGGGGAGACATGGCGCAAGCAGGCGCGGTGGCACGAGATATGGGGAGATACGGGGAGATACGGGGAGATATGGGGAGCTCGAGGGGGAGACATGGCGCAAGCAGGCGCGGTGGCACGGCGAGATGTACGGCTACGTCTTCGCCGCCGCCGAGGTGGGAGTCACGCACCGGATCCGGCGCGACATCATGCTGTACCCCGGCTACGAGCCGCACCTCGGCCGGCCTCCCTCCATCATGCACTACGGCGCAGACTACACGCTCGGCCGGGCGTACTTCAACAAGATGAACTACCAGCAGCTCCGGCTCGAGGAGTGCTCACGCCACCTCCTCGATACTTCCTCGACACTTCCTAGACGCTTCCTCGACACGTCCTGACTCCGTGGCCTGCAGGAGTGCTCACACGCTCTCGCCAAGCCGTCGGGCTCGCTGTTCCTGCTTGACGACCCTGAGGTCGATCTGGAGGCGATGTCGAAGCGGGACGCGCTCTGCCAGGAGCATCTCTCAACTCTGAACGCGGCCTTTTGCGAGTTTTACCAGCGCGCGTGCGCCGGCAAGCTGCTGCCAGAGAGGTGCCGCACCTTCGCCGCGCAGATCGACGAGGTGCAGCCTCGGATCAGCGCCTGCGTGGACGAGCACGAGAACTGCGCGGGGTGGGGGCTGGCGGAGTGCGGTAAGAACCCGATGTACATGCACTCAAAGTGCCCCGTCACCTGCCAGAGCTGCGGCAAGTCGGGCTCCGAGCTGGTGCCGTCAGAAGTGCACTATGGCGACTGGAAGTACGACGAGCGGCTGCAGGCGGAGCGGCTGCAGCAGGTGGCGGAGGTGGTGGCGTCGGCGAGCGAGGAGGAGCTGGTGGAGATCGAGGGGAAGGTTGCGGCGCGCCGGACGGAGCTGCGGCAGATAAAGCACGAGTTATGAGTTCCCCTCTCGCTGCCCTGTCCGCTGTTCGGGTCGAGGTCGAGATGCCGCCTCTTTCTAGAGCTTTGTGTACGGCATACGGCTTTAGTTATTTGTTCGTTTGAGCGTATTTTGTGTGAAGGGCGTATCTTCAAAAAGACGGCATCACGAGAGGCTCGCACCCAGTGAGTGCGGCCGACCGACCAGACCGAATAGGCTCGACGCCGTGCTCGCTGTGGGGCTGCAACAAACTCGCCGCCGAGCGTGACACCGAGAAGGCGTCCCGGCGGAGGTGATGGAGTGTGAGACCTGAGGCTGCGGAGGTGACGCCTGAGGTACCGGTCCGTGCACAGCGACTCAGCCGGCGACCGCCACGGGCTCAGACGAGACCTGTCGACGCGTTCCGGCTCAGCTTCACCGTGGTCATCGGGCGTCTGTCGACGTGGTCAGGACCACCCATACAGCTCGCGGGTTTGAGGTCGCAAGAGCCAAGATAGTGGCGTTTGGACAGGGGGGGGTCCCGACCCCCCCAGCACCTTCACCACATGCTAGGAGGGGGGTCGTGGCCGAGGACCCCCCCAGAGACTCGTGGTCAGACCCTCCGGGCCCTTGATTTTACGCCTCATTTCGCAGCGTTTTCGAGGGGAAAATCATCCTTTGGAGCTACATGAGCCTTGAGACTGGTCAGATTCTCCAAGATATTGGACTTTCAGCCACGATTTTCACAAAACCATGAGGGTAAAATCGGCTCTCTGGCGGCTATTCCTAGCCCACGAACTGCTGGGGGGTGCCCACCACATGCTCCGCCCATCACACACCTAGAGGCCGTCATCGCATTGCGTAGAGAGAGAGAGAGAGAGAGATTCGAGGAACGATGGGAGAGACACAAATTCCGCGTTCGCATATCAATCTATCCGGAACTATCCCCACGAAAAGCGCTACAAGACAGTCCATTCCCGCCCGCTCACCGCATCCTGGGAATCGCCTTCTTCCCCTCATCGCCCACTGTTCGGCCATCATAGTTGCGAGGTCGATGCTCGCTGCTGAAAATCGCAAAAAAAGAATTTTACGACAAAGCTCCCTCGCACGTGTCACTGGGCACGGTCGGGACTGGCGCGCACTGGCACTAAGACAGGTAGACCAACACAGGTAGCAAAAGAATTCCCGCCGAATTTAGCGACCAAGACAGTCCGATTTCCGCACCTCCTGCGCCCCCGTCCCGACTCTCAGAATCCGCACTCACGGATAGAGCTCGAACGGCTCGTTGTGCGAGTATATGGGACACGATGTCTCAAATATGAGGGGTTTTGACTCCTACCGGCTCCTGACGCTATTCCTGGCAGCTCTTATGACCAGGATCAGTAGTGCTATGATACAGGGTGCCCATGCTAGCGCAGGAGCTGCCACACTCGCCCGGACCGTCCCCTTCTGGGGCCGGTTCCGCAGCCCGCGAGAGCCGACAGCGGGGCCGTGCCGCGGGTGCCTACTGCCGAGTGCCACAAACACTGCGCCGTCCCGCCATCACCTACAGGCCGTCGTGCGTGATGGTTGGGATATCCAAACGCCACCATCTTGGCTCTTGCGACCTCAAACCCGCGAGCTGTATGGGTGGTCCTGACGTCGACAGACGCCCAATGACCACGGTGAAGCTGAGCCGGAACGCGTCGACAAGTCTCGCCTGAGCCCGTGGCGGTCGCCGGCTTGGTCGCTGTGCACGGGCCGGTACCTCAGGCGTCACCTCCGCAGCCTCAGGTCTCACACTCCATCACCTCCGACGGGACGCTTTCGGTGGCACGCTCGGCGGCGAGTTTGCTGCAGCCCCACAGCGAGCGAGGCGTCGAGCCTACCCACTCCAGTTGGTTCGGCACACTCGGTGGGGTCCACTGAGTGTGCCGAACGCGCGAGCGGTGCGTCCCGGCAGCCCGCGCTGGCTGCGGAGCTGCAACAAACTCGAGACACGCTTTTTTGGGACATTTTCGACGCTTTTGGCCCATATACTCGCACAACATGCCGAACCCTCCCGTCCCCGCCCGCTAACCGCATCTCGATTGGAGCGCCGCCGCAATCAGTCTCTCGCCCTCGTCGCCCAAATCGTTGTCGCCGATGTAGAGGGTTTTCAACACCCTGCTGAAAAGGAAAAAAAGAAAAACACGGCTGAATATCCCAGCAAAACCAAAAAAAGACCTCCGATTTCATGCACCTTCCTTCTCGAGCACATTCACATCTCGAGCTCGAACCCTACCCGCCCGCTCACCGCATCTCGAATCGCTCCCTCCCCCTCGGGGCCGATGTTGTTGTCCTCGAGTACGAGGGTGGTCAGCACCCCGTTGCCTCGCAGAGCTGCGCTGATCGCGACGGCACCCTCGGGGCCGATGTAGTTGTCCACGAGGTTGAGCTTTTTCAGCACCGCACTGCCCGACACGTACTCGGCGATCTCTGCGGCGCCAGTCGGGCCAATATTGCAGCGAGCAAGGCCCAGCGAGGTCAGCTTGTTGCGCTGCCGCTCGACACGCACGATGCCGAGGGCCGCCTCCTCGGTGAGGCTGTTGTAGCCCACGTCCAAGGAGGTCAGCACCGCGTTGACGCGAAGAGCAGAGGCCAGCGCAGCGGCGCCCTCGTCGCCGATCTTGTTGCCCATGAGCACGAGGTTGGTCAGCACCCCGTTGCCGCACAGCGCCTCTGCGATCACAGTGACGCCCTCGTTGTCGATGTCGTTGTCGGCGAGGTCGAGGTTAGTCAGCACCTTGTTGCCCGTAACCAGCGATGCGATCACGATGGCCGAGGCGAGCCCGAGCCGCTTGCCTGAGAGGAAGAGGGATGTCACCGAGTCGGTGCCGCGCAACTTTGGCAGGTCAAGCTCGTCGCCGTCGAGGTTCAGCTTGGTCAGCACCTCGTTGCCTCGTAGCGCCTCGGCGATCGCAGTGGCGCCCTCGGCGCCGATCTTGTTCCAGCCGAGGTTGAGGTTGGTCAACACCCCGTTGACGCGAAGAGCGGCTGCTAGCGCCTTGGCGCCCTCGTCGCCGATGTTGTTGTCGCTGAGCCAGAGGTTGGTCATCACCCCGTTGACCTCCAAAGCGGAGGCCAGCGCGGTGGCGCCCTCGTCGCTGATCCCGTTCCCGCCGAGCTCCAACTCGGTCAATACCGCATTGCCGCGCAGCGCCTCGGCGATCGCGGCGGCGCCCTCGGCGCCGATGTTGTTGCCGTAGAGGTCGAGGGTGTTCAGCACCCCGTTGCCCTGCAGAGCCTCGGCGATCGCGATGGCGCCCGTGTGGCCGATGTTGTTGTAGTAGAGGTTGAGGTTTTTCAGCACCCCGCTGCCCGACACGTACTCGGCGATCTCTGCGGCGCCAGTCGGGCCGATTTTGCAGCCAGCCATTTGCAGCGAGGTGAGCTTGTTACGCTGCCGCTCGACGCGCACGATGCCGCGGGCCGCCTCCTCGGTGAGGTCGTTGCCGCTCACGTCCAAGGAGGTCAGCACCGCGTTGACGCGCAGAGCGGAGGCCAGCGCCTTGGCGCCCTCGTCGCAGATCTTGTTGTTGCGGAGGTCGAGCTCGTTCAGCACCCCGCTGCCGGAGACGTACTCCGCCAGCACCGTGGCGATCTCCGCGTTGATACCCTGGCGTGTGAGGTGCCATGACTCGATCTTGTTCTTTTTGTTGTCTCGCAGCGCCGCGAAGATCGCGCACCAGCCCTCCGTGCCAAGATAGTTGCCGTTGAGGTCGATGGTTTTCAGCACCGCGTTGACTGCGAGAGCGCCGCCGATCGCCTTCGCGCCCTCGTCGACGAAAAAGTTTTCGCCGAGGTCGAGGTTTTTCAGCACCTCGTTGACCTCGAGCGCCTTGCCGATCGCGACGCAGCCCTCGGGGCCGATCTCGTTGCCGTACATGTTCAAGGCGGTCAGCACCCCGTTGACGCCAAGGGCCTCTGCTAACTCCTTCAGCCCTAATGTGTCGCGGCCAGAGTCGCACAGGTCGCAGCTACTGAGCTCGAGAGAAGTGAGCGAGCATTCGCTTCCGCGCACGAGCTTCGCTAGCGCACGAGCGCCGCTCGGGCCGACCGTGTTGCTGTTCAGCTTCAGGGTCTGCAACCGGGAATGACTCCCCGCCTTCAGCGCGCCCGCCACTGCCGCAATCTCGGTAGATCCCAGACCAGCGTCCGACAAGTCCAAGCTCAGCAGCCGCCCGGCAGACGCAAAAAGCAGCGCTGCCACGCCAAAACCGAGCCCCTTGGCCTTACACCCCAGCTCCAACTCCTCCTGCTCGAGCATGCGCGGCTCCGCCTCTTGCAGCGCCTTTAGCTGTGCTGGCCACGACCCGACGCACCTCGACGCGAGCACCGCGTCGTCAATGGCGCCGCCGAGTCCAGCATCGTCATTGTACACGTCTGGATCGCGCGAAGAAACCCAGAGCAGCCACGCCCCAAACAGCTCCTCGACGTCGGCTCGCGACTTGCCCGCCGACTTGAAGAACGCGTCCCACTCCTCCTAAGAGCGATCACACCGAATCAACTCGGACTCACGTCCAGACTTTGCCCACGGCCAGTGAATTTTACCTGCGAGCTGCGGATGCTGTCGCGCAACCCAATCTTGAGCTGCTCGCTCATGTCCTTCACCACCTGTTTTCAAGACAGGGGAGTGAGAGACGATGTGGCCACATGCGCAAATCCCCCCGACGTTTCGGCGGGCTCCTTGCGCCGCTTCGACAAAACTTGCTCGATGGTCAACGAAGCGAGATTGATGCTCGTGCGCATCTCGACCACGAGCAAGCCGCCTGTCGCGGGTCAGCAGCGCATTTAGGGAGTGGCAAGGGCTGGACATCTACAGGGGGCGTCTATGCCGGGCTTTACCGTCAACGCGGACCGACAACACCTCAAGGCCAGTGAGCGGCCCGAAGAGGATCTCCTTCTCGTGTGGGTACTGCGACAGCCACTCGAGTTCTGCGCCGCGGTCCACCTGCGGGAAGGCGGTGCGTGAAACGGTCGGGTGCGGGGGACGGTGTGTGAGTGGCCGACGCACCATCCCCATTTGGATCTCAAAGACGACGCCGGCGCTGCCCTCGCCAGCATAGCCCATGGCGACGTCGCGCATGGTGGTGGTGGACATGAACGCCGCTTCGACACCGCCACAAACGCCAAACTCGTTCTTCTCCCAAAACTTGGCGGGCAGCGCCTTGTCAGCGATGCCGCGGTAAACCTTGGCCGCCCGCGTCAGCTTGGACATCTTCACGATGGTCGAGTTGATGGCGTGAAGCGTGCTGGTGTAAAGGTTCGCGTGCGCCTTGGCGGCGCTAAAGTCTGTCGAGCTCTTGTCGCTCTTCTCGAAGCGCTCGCGGACCTCTTTTGCGCAGCAGAGCGAGATGAATTGGGTCTGCAGGAAGTCGGATGTGGAGTCGACGCCGCGCAGCACGCTGTTGTACTTGATGAAGAGCGGCCCCGTGTAGAGGCGGCCGCCGATCAGCTCCTCCTCCTTGAGAGGCGCCTCTTTGAGGCAAATGAGCCACTTGTTCTTCTCTTCCATGGCCGACTGCATGTCCACAAGCAACTTTGGGCTGCGGCCGGGAAAGCCGCCGAGCTTGGACACGTCCTCGGAAGGCCACGCCGCCTCGGTCTCGGGCCGGATCACAAAGCACCACTCCTTCTCGGACGTCGTTGTGATGCCGTAGTTGGGCCTGAGCAGGGGGGCGGGACGCTGTCCTGAGCTCGTCAGCTCGTCACAGGGCCTCACGAGAACAGGACGCACGCACGTGGTGAAAGAGGAAGTCGAGTCGCCGCGCTTGGTGTGCTCCGCCTCCATCGCCTCCATCACCTTTGGCGCGGGCGCACCGACCACCCCCTCCAGTCCTCCTGTGCCAGCAGGAACAGGACCTCTCGGGCAGTGGCGGTGGGGGGTGGAGGGGCGCTGAAAGGGATTACACACCAAAGAACGTGTCGAGGCCTCCGTAGTTGAGCTCGAGCTTTCCCTCAAACTTGGAGCGGAGGGTGTTCGTACCGCCGCCCGCATCGCCGCCCGTGGCGAGCTTCTGCAGTTCGGCCCACAGATTCTTGGCAATGTCTTTGCACGCGCCCTTGAGGCACTCCTCGAGCACATCCTCCGAGCCGAGCTCCGCTGCCAGGCCGCGCATCTTGTCGAGCTCCGTCCCGTCGCCATCCGGCAGGAGCGCCTTTGCGAGCTCCGTCGGGATGAAGCCTTGCGAGATGATCCAGCCGGCGGCTGACCACTCGCTCGCGGGCCCCGCGTCAACCTGAGTTGGGGTGGAGTTGGGATGAAAGGCGTGGGGTTTGGATGACAACAAATGCAAGTTCGGTGGGGAGGCCGCGCCTGAATCTCCCGGAGCTCTCCGATGATGTCGTTTGCTCCATTGATGTCGTTCGCTACGTTGATGTCGTTCACGGCGTTGATGTCGTCCGTTCCCGCAATCTTTGAGGAGGAAGTGCAACCCATCTTGTCCTGCACCGAGGGGGTGCGAGCAGGCCATAGGCATAGGGATGCGGACGCCGCATGTAAGGGAGGGATGAACTCAGAGCGAATGCGGGGAGGCGGCAGCGGCAGCGGTGGCGGCGGCGCTGCGGCACAAGAGGCGGCCGGGACGCGAGGGGGTGGTGTTGGAAGGAGCGGTGCGCATGGCGGCCACAGCGAGGAGCAAAGCGCAGAGCGTGGGGCGCGTAGGGCGGGCAGCGAGGCTGGAGAGGGAGGAGGCAGTGGTGGCGGCAGCGGCAGGAGCAGCGGCAGTAGCGGCAGCAGTAGCAGCGCGGCGGCAGGCGGCAGAGGATGAGGTGGAGACGGAAGGCGCGACGGCAGGCGGCAGAGGAGAGGTGTTGGGAAAGAGGGGAGGTGCGGCAGAGGAGGCGTGGGAGATGGGTGGGGGAGTGTGTGCGTGCCGGGTGTGGAAGGAATAGGCGGCGGCGGTAGGAGGCAGAGATGTTGGGAATGAGGTGGAGAAGGAAGGCGCGAAGGCGGCGGGTGCGGAGGTGCTGGGGAAGAGGGAGGTGTGGCGGAGGAGGCGGGGGAGATGGGTGGGTTCGGGGGGGGGGGGGGGGGGGATGTGTGCGGCGGCAGTTGTAGCAGCGGCGGAGGCAGTGCAGCGGCGGCGATGGATGGCAGAGGAGGGCGGCGAGTGCTGGGGAAGAGGGACGGGCGGCGGAGGAGGCGGGGGCGATGGGTGTGTTGTGTGTGTGTGCAGGGTGTGTGGAAGGAAGAGGCGTCTAGCAGAGGCGGAAATAGCAGCGGCGGCAGTAGCAGCAGCGGCAGTAGCGGCGGCGGCGATGGCAGAGATGTTGGGATTGAGGTGGAGAAGGAAGGCGCGCGAGGGCGGCGAGTGTTGGGGAAGAGGGAGGTGCGGCGGAGGAGGCGGGGTAGATGAGTGTGTGGGAGTGTGTGCGTGCGGGGTGTAAGGGAGCGGCGGCGGAAGCAGCGGCAGTGCAGTGGCGGTGGCGGTGGGTGGCAGAGTGAATGAGGTGGAGAAGGGAAGGCGCGCGAAGGCGGCGAGTGGGGAGGTGCTGGGGAAGAGGGAGGTGCGGCGGATGAGGCGGGGGGGATGGGTGTGTTGTGTGTGTGCAGGGTGTGTGGAAGGATGAGGCGGCGGCAGTAGCAGCGGCGGCGGCGGCGGCGGCGGCGGCGGCGGAGAGAGGCGGCGCGCGCGCGCGAGGGGTGGTGGTGGAATGAGAGGTGCGCGCGGTCACGACAGGCGGGGGGCGCGCGGTCACGACAGGTACGTGGGGAGCAGCGCGCGGGGGGCGCCGGGCGTTGTAGGTTTCAGAGGCTGCAGCGGCGGCGGCGGTGGCGGCGGCGAGAGACGAGAAGGGGTGGAGAGAGCGGCGCAGTGTGTGTGCTGCTCGAGAAGCGGACGTGGGGGAGAGAGAGCGTCTGCGCATCATCAGTGACCGATAGGGGGGAAGTTTGGCTCGGCATAGGCGCCGGAGGGGTGGAGCGACAAACGGCAGGAGCGACGCGATGGACAGGCGGCGAGAGAGTGAGGGTGTGCGAGAGTGTGCGAGAGCTCGACGAGTTCGACGAGGGGGGGGTAGCTCTTTCCGCAGCTGGGTGAGCGTGTGTGTGGTGGGGCGAGGGCGCGGCGCTCCTGAGAGAAGTGGAGCACAAGGACAACTTGCCACGCGCCTCAATTGTTTGGCTGTGAACGCGTCTCACACGTACTCGCATAATTATGGGCGAGAACGGCGTTCTCTGGGTAAGCTCAGCTGTGAACTTCCTAGTTGTTTGCTCTTGCTTGCGCGTGACCTCTTGCGTGCACGCCCAAGCTCGAGCGGCATCACGCAGAGCGAGCTCACACGCATATGCTGCGGTTGCTGCCGGTACCATGCCCTCAGTGTGTCAACGGCGACGTTGGTGCCCGTATTGAAGGCACCGCGCACATGCACGTAATGGTAGGTCGAATTGTGCGCCACCGATGGCAGGGCAAGACGATCAAAAGGCAGCGCGCCCTCGAGTAGATTCCACATGCTCACATCTGTTGGGTAAAACACACCGCGGCCGGTCCACCGGGCGAACATTGCTGCCACGAGAGCTGGGACGAACGAGTGGGACGAAGCCGGTGATCGTGTGGCTCCTTGATCAGGCTGCCGCAACTGCATGGTATCCGCTATCCGGTGGTATTGTATGGGACAGTCTTCGGGGGGCGGCGCCTTCTAGGCGAAGGCGCCCTTGACCCAACAACCTAGCTTTTGGTTAAAAGTACGAAAAATGGCAGTTTACTACGTTTTGAGCTTTTCTCTTGCAGATTACTACGTGCGGGTCAAATTGCCTTGCAGATTACTACACACCTGAAACATCAGAAATAGAGCCATTCTTGTGTACGCCAACCGCGTCAAAGCACAAAATCCCCCCCCCCCCTCTCTCTCTCTCTCTCTCTCTCTCTCTCTCTCTCTCTCTCTCTCTCTCTCTCTCTCTCTCTCTCTCTCTCTCTCTCTCTCTCTCTCTCTCTCTCTCTCTCTCTCTCTCTCTCTCTCTCTCTCTCTCTCTCTGTGTGTGTGTGTGTGTGTGTGTGTGGCGTGCGTGTTTGGGATCCAACTACTTGAGTAAGGCTAAGGGTCAAAGCGGTGCCGACACGGCAGTGAGCTCCGTCACTCGCTGTCTCCGCCCGCCTGGCGAGCCCACAGCTGTGCGTCGCAGGGGCTCGCCCTGGCGGCACAGCAGCCGCAGCTCAACCGCAAAGATGAGCGCAAAGCAGAGCGCGCACCCAAGCAGGACCCAGCCCGTGGTCTTGAGGTGGCCAGCCGCAGCCACCGCGACGTTGGAGCTCCCGCACGAGCAGAAGAGCATCTTGGCAGAGTACGCCTCGCCCTCTCCGAGCAGCGACAGCAGCGAGTCCGGAAGCTCCGGCGACGGTGTGAAGCCACCGCCCGCGGTCGGACCTTCCTCCTCCCTCCACCACTGCGTTCCGTAGCAATCGGTCCAGGCGACCAGCTTGTCGAGGAAGTCGCGCGCCTCGCCCGAGCCGGCCTCAGAGGTGGCCCACCTGAACAGATCCTTGCTTGCGTCCGACGACTCCTTGGCGGCCGGCGCGGCGATGTGCAGCTGGGCGCCAAACTCGGCGGTCACGGGCGTGCAGAAGGCGCTCGCCCACCAGTCGAAGCTGTTGAGAGCGGCGGAGAGGGACCGCGGTGGCACCGACTCGGGCGGGTTGTATAGCGCCGCTTGGAGGGACGCCTGCTGCGTCGCCGCCGGCGCCTTGCAAAATATGGAGAGCTGCCCCGGCGCGTTGCCTGTGCAGGAGGAACCGCCGCTCGCGTTGAGCAGGCCTGAGGCGCACGCGTCGTTGACGGCGTCGCTCAGGTACGCAGACGGTTCGCACCGGTCGTAGGCCGACTGAAAGACGCCGCGTGCCGCGCCAAAGACGCTCCGCTCGAGCTCTCCGTTTGGCTCGTAGGAGAAGCTTTCCTCCTGGGCGTTGTCGAGCGTCACACCGGCAGCTAGCGCCAACGCAGTGCCCACAACGAGCAACAGCACGAGGAGGACGTTGACACACGCGTAGAGGGCGAGGCACCAGCGGCAGGCTCGGCCGCCGCTGCAGACGCCCCAGAGGCCGCAGATGGACAGGACGAGGCAGACGCCGGCAATCAGCGAAGCGGTGGCGCAGAGGCTGCCGATCTCCCGAACCTGAGCGGCCGCCCACGCGGAGGCAATGCCGACCACGAGGAGGGCTAGGGCCCAGACGAGGACCGCCAGGCGAAGAGGTAGCTCGCAGCACCAGCTGCAATGCGCCCCTTCTCGGGTGCGTCCCCCCAGCCAGCCGCTTCTATCCTCGACCCTCGCCGTCTCTACCTGCGAGGGCCTGCCGCCGGTCCGCTCTGCCACCCGCTCCTTGAGGCGGCGGGCAAAACACTCGGCCGTCGACTCACTGGCCACCTCGCGCGCCGCTGTCGTCGCCGCCGCCACCGTCGTCTTTCTTCCAGCCTCGGCCGCCACCCGGAGAGAGTCGCCGGCTGCAGCACATGCCTGCTCCCACTGCTGTGCAGCGGTGTCGCTGCTGCGGCCGGAGCTGCCTCCTTTGCGCCGCGTCGCAGACACTGCACGCCTAGGCGCTGCAGCGCCCGCCTTTGCCACCTTTGGCACTGCTGCCACGCTGGCGATGGCGACGGCCTTGAGCTTTGCAGCCGCCTTGGAGCGCTTGCTGGAGCCCATGGTTGGAGCGATGGACGCACGCGTGTTCGGATTTACGTTTTGCCGTCAGCCAGGTTCGCTCCCTTCATGGAGAGAGGGAGAGTTGATCTATTGAGGGCCTCGTGAAAGAAAGAAAGAATCGCCGCACGAGAGGCCGGAACCCGGGAGCGATTTACCTTTTGGCGGACCCCGGCCGGACCCGTTCCTCCGCGTTCCAGACCGTTCTGTCTGCGCCTCCCTGTTGGCGTTGGCGTTCGAGCACGAGTGACGAGACGCAGACTTGCGACTTGATTCGGCCGAGGCGGCGCGCGCGGGGGGGGGGGGCTGCGGGTGACAGCGCTGACGCACGCACAGCCACGCGACAGAGGTCGACGCGCGCGGTGGGTCCGGCGGCTGGACCGTGACACGGCCTCTCCACCCTCTCTCCAGAGCTCTGGCTCCGTCTCGCGCGACCGCGTCGGCGTTCAAAAAACCGCGTGCGTCCACGGACTCGCGTGTACTTTAAGAGCTGGCAGCTACTTGACCTTACAGTGTGCCCCTTGCACCCATCCGCGCGGCGATCGCCCAACGTTCAGTGTGGCCGTGTGTGAGAGAGCCACGAAAGACTCGTCGTCCGCTGCATGCCCCCACCCGTCCTCCTCCTCCGCCCCTCCGCCGCCCGCGCCGCCCTACGGCCGCGCGTTGGCTGACGCCACCGCCGCCGCCGGCACCGTCGCTGCTCCGCGGCCGCGACACGGCGCCGGCTGACACGGCTGGTGCGACTCGGACTCACCGAGAGAGCAGGCGTGCAGCGAGAGAGGGACCTGTCGAGGAATGGATGGAGTGGTGAAAGAAAAAGGGCAGGCCCTCCCGTGGAAAAAGGGAACTTAAGGGCGCGGCCGGCCCCGGTTAAGAAAAAAGGATGTTCCCCACCCGGGTTCCGGAAGGTTAAAAGCGGGGGGAAGGGGAAAGGTGAAGGGGCACTCCCAAAAGTCCAAAAAAGGGAAAAGCC